GATTGAGTTCGACACCCCTAATCTACACTAATGAAAGAGAAAGATGCAAATTGACCATGCCTTCATGATGCCCACTAGTGAATCAGGAGTGAGTATGCAAATTAACCCAATAAAGATGATGGGTTAATTTGCATACACAGGTGCCAAGCGGCCAGGGTGGGACACTTGCTTCATCATAATGGCGATGATGCAGCCATTAGGCACTGCCCCAGCTGCTCCAGGTCTGTGGGCAGTGTGGGAGGTGGAAAGGTGGCTCTGGCAGGAGTGAAGGTGGTGCCAACAGCCAGGGGAAGGAAGGCCCATTCTTGCATGAATCTTTGTGCATCGGGCCTCTAGTTGATATGTAATATGAATGGGGCACTATTTTTAGGTGTTGGTAGAAAAGGTGTGAAAGCCCAAGTTTTACCTGGTAAACCAAAATTACTGAAACTACTATTGGGACTTTTCATAGAAATCTTGTGAAAGAAGACATAGGTTGATTGTAGACAATGCAGGACACTGGTAAGTGGTTGGATTGCCTACTCAGAGTGTGCTGATTTAAAGGATTGCTATGAGCTTAATAAAATTCTCACCTAAGTTTGGGCCTCTGCCTGTTATTTTTTTCAACTATGTTATCAATAATTTGGATAAAGAAGGAGAAAATATATTCATCATAATCATTTTTGAAGGATGTGAGAAATATGAAACAGTATCCATAATAATTTTGACTGTCAGGATAACTGAGCTGAAATTAGATACAATAAAGATAAATAACAACTTATATTTTGGGTAAATATACTTGTGAAAGCCCACTAATGGAGTAATGACACAGTCAAAAAGTTAATTTGATTATCATTTATTAGTAGAAATATAGTATATGAACTGAGTGCTAAAAGTACCAATCTATGAATTAGACCCAGGCAATATAATGCTCCTCCCTCCTTCCCTTGTCTTTGCAATATACATTCTGCCCACTGTTCCAACAAAGGGAACAATTTTCAAGGATACAGCTTTAAGAGAGCAATGGGCTATTGAGAATATCTGGATGGTTACATGTGACTGAACCCAATTAAGACCTCTATATAAACTTGTAAGATTCTGACGGGAGGGTGTGGACATCTATTTGTCTTCTGCTGATTACTCAAGAAATGTCTCAATTCTCTTATTAAACTACTAGAGGCCCATTGCTGGAAGATTCCTGCAAGAATAGGGCTTCCTTGGGCCTATTCCTGCTTGCTTCTCTGCAGCTAAGCTCCCTTCTGCACCACTTGGCTTCCTTCTATGCTGTCTTCAGTCTTGATCTGTGCCTATATATGCAAATTAGCCGCCATATTGGTTGGGTTAATTTGCATACTCACTCCTGATTGACTGGTGAGCATGGCTTGTGGGTGTAGAGGAGGTATGGTCAATTTGCATGTTTCTCTTTTATTAGATAGGATGACCTATACATCTGGAGTGGTCTGACTCTCTCTTTGGTCTCTCGTTGCCCTCTGTGTATAGGAGCCAGTTTATAGAAAAACAATTCCACACACATTAGACAACCCCTACTTTATGGTTTCAGTTGTGCATATTACATTTACAGAAGCATCCATACCAGCCAAAACAAAAAAATACTCAGAAAATCAGAGTATTGAAAGCTTGAAGTTGTAATAGATGAGGAAGTGGTGATCAAAATGAAAATATGTATATTGAGAATGGTAGAATTATTTGGAAAGTATGATGGGATTGGGGTACATACATGTTATAGCTTAAAATATTTTCAGCAAGGCTATGGCCAGGGTACATAACCTCCTGGAATAGATCTAAAACCAAGGGGTAAAAACGTTAGATACACTTTTATATAGAGTTGTGTTTTTCTGAATGTTTGTTTTCTTAATGAGTCTACCTAATCATTTGGTATTGCATATTGTCAACAAATACAGTTTTGAATTAGATAACCTTTTGTTTTATTTTAATTTTCAATTTATTGATTTTTTTTTTTTCGAAAGAGAGAGGAAGGAAGAGAGAAAGAATATTCAATTTATTGCAATTATTTATGCATTCATTGGTTGATTCTTGTATGTGCCCAGATGATGTTCGAAATCAAAATTTTAGCATATCAAGATGACACTCTCACCAACTGAGCTAACTGCCCAGGGCAGATTAGATTACCTTTTATCTTTAAAAAAAAAAAAAAAAAAAAAAAAATCCCTTGAATCATCCTTAGATTCTGTGATTTTGTGACCTGTGGAGTCAAAAAATACAAGCAAGGACTAAGATGTTTCCAATTCCTTTGAGTTTGGTTCCAGAGGCTGGGCGTCTACTAACCTGGCTTCTCTTCAGAGCTCTCACAGGGTCTTCAGAGTCAATGAGAGACGTGGGGCCTTCCATTCAGCAATGGAGCTCAACATCTGCTCTCACTAGAATGTGTGTTCTTGAAGTTTCTGCAAACAGGGAGATGGAAGATAGTAGGTATCTAAGACTTAGGCAGAAAAACAAAAACACCAAAAAAAAGTTTGCTAAAAGGAGAGGATTTTAAGTTGGTCTTTTTATTTTGAGAGAGTTTTCATGGATCCAATACTTTCTACTGAGTCAGCCACAATAAAACTATTTCAACTTACAGGGAATATTATTTCTGAGTCACAGTAATATAATGATCAGGACATTTAAATGTTTTCAGTCACTAGTACATACTATCTTTACATCACAGCAGCATACTCATAATGATAATATTTTTTATTGCACACCACTCTATGAAAATACCACAAGTTAAAGAAATTTCTTTTAATTCATGAAAGAAACGTTCGAACATCAGGTCTCAATTTCACAATGATTCTTTTTTTCCCCTCAGAAAATATGCAAACAGTAAGTAATTCATGACTCATTTATTAAAAGTCCCATGATTTCAGTGTAAATTCCTAGTGAGGCTTTGGAATTGAGGCTTCCTTTCTACTATTCCCATATTCTCTGAGTCACCAAGGTTTTTAGACATTGGCAGGAGTGCCTGTTCCTACCTCCTCGTAGTGTTACACGTGGCTAGGAAGGAATATAATGTCAGAATTTGAACTGTGAGTATAAATACCATGCATAGATCCAGGCATCTGTGGCCCCAGCCCTCAGCCCTGGGCTTCGCAAGGCTCCTCCAATGGTGATGTGCAAATAGATTTCTCAGGATCTTGTTAAAATACACCTTGTGATTCAGGAAGTCGGGGGTTGCGACCTGTGAACTTGCATTTCTAACAAGTTCCCAAGTGCTGCTGCTGCTGCTACTTCAGGTTCACAAATCCACTTTGAGAATTATTGGTTTAATGAGTTCAGAATTATTGGTTTAATGAGTTCCTCTGTCTTTCCTCCAGACACACCTCCTCCCTATAAGGTGAGTCTTTCATGCAATGCAGGAAACCTGCCAAACCAAAGCCTATGTCATTCCTTCTGAAGCAGGACTCCAAGAATTTCCTTCCCAGATCACTCTCTGGCCTAAGCACACTTTTCCTCAGTCTATATACTCTGATAGATCCAGCCACCAGCCTGTACATATCAGGGTTGGAGGGCTGATGAAGGGAGAGTTATTTGGAGGAGGCTTAGCTGTGTGCGCTGGGATGTGCCGCAGAGAGAGCTCCTCCTGGTACAGACTGAGGCCGAGAAAGAGAGAGGGGAGGGGTGGGCTCCAGCAGGCAAATGCTGGGATGGTCTTATGTCTGTTTATATAACTGACAAGGAGAAATTCCATTGTGTTATAGCTTAGTCCAATTTTAAGGTCATAGAATCACAACTTGGATAGTTCTGTTCATGACGATCCTTGCATCCAAAGTGTTCTTCTGAGAAGATGGGAACAATCTTCCTTTGCATATAACCCTCCACAGCAATTTTCCCCAATGACCACACAATTTAGGGGACAGTGTGTAGTGTGTGGGGTTTGAGATTCCACAGATTTTAGCTGAAATCTCGCTTTAACTTCTTGAGTGATTTTGAGAGTGTCAGTTACTTTTGCACAAGAGGCCATTCTTTGCCCTCAGTTTCTTAATCTTTAAAATGAGAATACAAATGCTTTCCTACACTTTTGAACTACTTATTCTTCATCCATTAGCTCAAATGCCACCATATTGATTAGATCAGATGCCTCTAGATAATCTGGAAGTCACTGCAATTTTTCATTGCATTTGCAAACCTTTGTCCTTTAATATTTGTCTTTTTGTCTTGTTTAATGTCTATTGACCCACTGGATATTGAGAGCAGGGGCCGTGTCTCCTTCATTTCCTTAATTGTGTCCTCTCTATCTGGCACAGAGGGAGGCCAGAACCTAATAGATGCTAAACCCATGCTTGCTAAATGAGCAAACAAGTGTTTGGTTAATGTCACAATTAGAGATAAAATATATTAAGTGACTGGCACATAGTAGGTGCTTCATAAATGACATGGGTGAGCTTCAGTGCAATTGATATTATAATTAGACATTTTATCTTGTTTCCTTCTACTTGACTCATGGAGGAAACTGGGGTGAATTTGGGACAACCATGATTTGAACTGTCCAAGTCAAGGAAAAAATGTGGTGTGATAAACTACTGGCTTGAACAACTAGAATCAGGATACTCTTTTCAAAGGCTCAAGAAATGAAAAACCCACAACTTAAAACAAAGGGAAAAAAGTACAAGTAAAAGTTTTGCTTGTCAATGTTGCTAGTTCCTCAGAGCTCATGGCCCCAATAGTGCATCTTCTTAAAAGACATGCGGTGTATAACCCCTTTGCCCAAGTCCTCACGCTGACATCCTCTGCCTCCTCCACCCCCACTCCCCTCACTTCTTGGGGATTATTTTATCTGTCCCTTCCGTATCAGCCAGCCCAAATATTATCCTGTCAAATATTTCTGGGGCCTCTACTTGAAGAGACATTTCTTTTTTCTTTTTAATGTCAAAATAAACCATCTGCTTGTACAACTGTTTCTAATTACTTTCCTGCCTAAACTCTCCACTTGAGGGGTTTGGCACCAGCACCCCGCCCAGAGCGGTGCTGCTGCCCAAATCTTCGCAGGCAGCTCATCAACTGCACTTGCAGCTCCCGGCAGAGCCCGGAACCTGCGCGCCTGGGTGTCCGTGTGTCCGTCTGCCCTGCCTTCTGCTGGTGGCACCTCGCCCTTCTGCAGCACCCCCTTCATCCCCCTCGCCCCCCCCCCCCCCGCGGTGAGCCCCTCCTTGCAGAAGCACAGCTCGCCCCCACAGCCCAGGAGCTCAGCATGCGTCCGGCAGGCACCGGGAACTTCTTGCTGCTGGCGTGCTCCCTCCTCCTCGCGGTGCTGTCAGCTGTTCCTCAAAACTTCTCGCCATCTCTGAGGTGAGTTTGGTTTGTTATTCAAGACGGGCTTGCCCTGCTTTGTGTGGCTGCCCCGCGGAAGTTTGGGCACGGGATGAAGGATTTCAACCTGCTCCAGTTCCTTTCTTCCTATCTATGCCGAGCGTGGCTGCTCTTCTGTTTTTTGCTTGTACTTTGGGGAAAGAAAAAAAAAAAAAAAAAGAAAAAAAAGAATCACTGAATAAATAAATAAGTTCCTCCTGCGCCAATACATATAATGGAGGAATTTCTGCCATGAGTTAAAGGTGTTGCATTTTTGTATTACATTTATTTGTATTTGTAAAAGACTGTGAGGCACATTGCAAAGCTAAGCTTTTAAAAAAGTATTAGTGTATAAGCACTGCTTCATGCAACTTTTTAAAAAGCTGTTTGTCTTATGCCATCATAACGTGTACAGCTCTCTCTCTCTATATTCATTTCTTCCTTTTCATAAAATAACTGCCCCTGGCCACCAGGGCGTAATGGGACTTTTCAAAAGTAACTGAAAAGTCAGCTAAGTGTCAGACTTTGGATTAATTTGCATTTAATCTTAATGTGCATGTAGGATTCGGGTACAAACTTCCAAGGGGCAGGCTGGGTCACCTCTAATCAACCGGAAGATGGTCCTATTCCCAGGTTGGGCCGGTCATCGCTTAGACATTTTGGGTCATGGTCATTTCTCAGGTGATAGCTTCTGGGGGGTGCCCCTTGCCTGGGACATCTCTAGAGGAAGCCTGGCCCCCAGAGCAATGTGGGGCCTCCTGGGGTTCTGCCTGCATCTGGGTGGGCACTGGGAGGAAACGTGGGCTGGGAGCAGCAGGAGCAGCGTCTGTGCTTGACCAAGGCCCTGCTGTGGTTTGTCGCCCATGCAGGAGCGGGCCCGGTGCCACGTGCAGGCTGTCCCGGGCCGAGTCCGAGCGCCGGTGCAGGGCGCCAGGGCAGCCCCCAGGGGGCGCTGTGTGCCACGGCAGGGGCCGGTGCGACTGCGGGGTCTGCATCTGCCACGTGAGCGAGCCGGGCGTGTACTTCGGGCCCCTGTGTGAATGCCACGAATGGGTGTGCGAGACCTACGACGGGAAGACCTGCGCAGGTAAGGAGGGGTGGGGTGGGGGCGCTGTCTCCTCTCTCTGACTCCCCAGCACCCAAGGGAGCCAGGACACACTTCCTTCTGGGGCTACTGCCCAAGAGGGGAAGAGGGCAGAGAAATGTAAGGAAAGACCTCTGTTCACAGTCCTCCTGGAAGTCACTGCCATCCCAAATGGATCCTTTTGTTAGGCAATTCCGGAATTATGCATGATAATACTCTCCTCCACCCTAGAGATCCAACTCAAGTAGGAATAGTATTTGCAAAACTCACCCACTTGACTTATCTCACTTGTCTCTATTTTTAGTTTCTTATTACAGACTACACCTCCCAACTTCCTCACAAAACGAGTTCTTTGGCTGGGTCCCTCACTAACGTTAATCATAATATTTGCAGTACATAAGCTTGAGTTTTATTTTTACTAGGGCAATACAGGGAAATAATATTTTTCCTAAATTCCAGGGTGGGGCAGGTGGTGTCTTTGAACTCTGATTTGCCCTCTCAAACTTAGGATATCATTCACAGCTATAAGTGCATATCAGGAACTGTGACAAGGAAAACACAAGTCGTCCATATTTACTTAGAAGCCACTGCTTTTGTACTGTTTTAGCTGCTTGAAATTTTTAGCTGCAATGAAACTTGTTATTTTGTAAGGGTGGAGTGAAAATAAATTCATTACCTTGCACATTTAAAAAAATAATTTTTTTTATTGATTCAGAGAGGAAGAGCTAGGGAGAGAGAGAAGCATCAATGATGAGAGTGAATCATTGATCAGTGCCTCCTACAAGCTCTATACTAGGGATCGAGCCTGCAACCCTGGCATGCGCACCGACCAGGAATTGTATTGTGACTTCCTAGTTCATAGGTCCATGCTCAACTACTGAGCCATACTGGCTGGGCACCTTGTACATTTTTAAGTGATTTGAGCCCTGATTTCAGAAAGGGTCAAGGTATTTATAGAGAACACCCCACCTTCTACCAGTTTCACCTAAATATGCCATTTACTTAAGGCCAAGAACCTCAATTAGGTCATTGTGAATGATACAGGCACTCCGTTAGTATAAAGACAACACCATGCATTCCAACCAGAGATTGGCATATTTGTAGGGGGGAAAAAAAATCACAACTTATTTACCCACAATATGTCTAAGAATAGAGTCCAATGCTAACATACAGAGATCAAGAATATGTTTATAGCAAAATGCTTTTTTTCTTGGCACCTGGGCCCCGGAGAGCATAGAGGGAATACTTAATATGCAGGCTGCTTGGCAGTGGAAAAAATAGTCATAGAAGTAATTCAGATGGGCACAGGTGCTTCTATGAGATTTGTTTATGCTATGAAGACTGCAGCTCAACCCTTTAAAAATAGTGAATGCCACAGCTTGTTATTTTAACTTCATCACTCCCATAAGCTTCAATACTTAGCTTTGGAATGAAAACTAAGTATTGTCTAATATTTTATTCCAAATTCAACTTCTACCCTGCTTTTCTGGATTTTATTGCCTCTGGCAAGGCCTCTTCAATATCATGAGCTCTGAATACATTTTTTTTTAAAGGACATTTTCTACTGCTCTTTCATTGGAAAAGAAGAGGTAAGATGCAGTGAACTAGTCATCAGATCATCAGCTAAAACCAGAAGAAGTTTCTCTGGTTCCTATCTTTAAAATTATGCAGACGGAATGCTGTGGTATACTGCGTTCTTTTTTTTTATATCCCATGGAAAGTGATTTGTTGTTTAACCATAACATCTTAGTCACTGCATTCCTTTCTCCCTGGTATAAAATGCAGTAACTGAGTCATCCATGGCTTTGCTTGTATATTCATTTCTGCAGAAGGCAGTCTGTGTCTCTTCATTTCAAGGTCAAATGAAATAACTGCTCATTTTCCATTCCCATCACTCTGACTGACTCCCTCTGAGGTCTGTGCTACAGGGCCTGGTGCAGAATCTGCCCCTGCAGATGCTCTGACTATCTTTGCCTGGTCCAAGGAGGAAATCCTTACATACAGACCATAGGACTGCCTTGCCAGCTTGCCCACTTGTTTTTTGCTTTAAATTTAGCTTCTCAATTTCATCTTCGATTGTTCCCCCCTAGCCAGTTTGCTCAGTGGATAGAGAGTCGGCCCGTGGACTGAAGGGTCCCAAATTTGATTCCAGTCAAGGGCACATGCTTGGGTTGTGGGCTAAATCCCCAGGAGGGGGCATATGGGAGGCAGCCAATCAATGATCTCTCTCATTATTAATGTTTCTATCTCTATCTCTCTCTCCCTCTCCCTTTCTCTCTGAAATCAATAAAAATATATTAAAAAGAAAAAGAAGTAGTTCTAATAGTATAGCTAATAACATTGAAACACAGCAGGTTGTCTTTTAAAAAAATATATGATATGCATTGTTGTAATAATATTATGTTTTATACAGGCCAGGCTGAGGGACCTCTAGTAAAACATAAAAGACAACCTGCTGCCCTAGCTGGTTTGGCTCAGTGGATAGATAGATGGATGGAGAGATGGATGGATAGATGGATGGATGGATGGATGGATGGATGGATGGATGGATGGATTGGCTTTGTATATGTTGGGCATTTGACTCAGTGAAGCAATTTAGTTTTCTTAGTGTAGTCTGGTCCTGTTGTTATTGATCCAAAACTCAAAAGGTCGAGCAAGGATAGTTATTTTGGCCCAGTCTCACCAGCAGCTGTGTGAGATACACCATGCCCTTTTAAAGTTAGGTCCATTGGGATTATAATACTGCGAATCATAAGAAACGTAGTTATTTTAGTTTGAGCTGGTTGAAAGTCATTGCATTTACAAGATCACAAATGGTCTATTTCTTCCAGTATCCACTTGTTCCTGGCCGTGCATCTTCCTTAGACTTTAATAGTATGAAGCCTGGCCCAATGATTGGTCATGTGGGTATTATATTCTAATAAGGAGTAACCTAATTTTGGTGAAGTATGTATTGAAGAATAGTAAAATGTTTGGTTACATTAAAAAAAACACACCTTTTAGTTAATTTTTAAAATATCCCTGGAAACCCCCAATAGCTATGATTATACTTAAATAAAATAATTGGTTTCTTAAAAAATATTTTCTAATCACTTTTAATATAAGTAGATCTACAGTTGTATGTTAAACAATTTATTCTTATATTATTTTTTTAACTAGAGGCCTAGTGCATAAAATTCATGCACTGGGGTGTGTGTGTCCCGATCTGACACCCCTCGGGGATGTCCTGCACCCTCTCCAATCTGGGACCCCAGTGGGATTGGGCCTAAACTGGCAGTCTGACATCCCTCTCACAATCTGGGACTGCTGGCTCCTAACCACTCATCTGCCTGCCTGCCTGCCTGCCTGATTGCCCCTAACCACTTCTGCCTGCCAGCCTGATCCCTCCCCTGCCAGCCTGATTAACACCTAACTGTTCCCCTGCCAGCCCAATTGCCTCCAGCTGCCCTCCCCTGCTGATCTGGTCCCTCCCACCTGCCTTCCCCTGCTGGCCATCTTGTGACAATGTGAGGGAGGCCATCTTGTGATGACATGGGGCAGCCATCTTGTGAAGACCATCTTGTGATGACATGGGTGCAGCCATTTGTGAGGGTGTGAGGGTCAATTTGCAAATTATCTTTATTATATAGGATTATTGTATTATTTTCCATACTAACAAATGTAAACTTACTTTTGCCATACCCCGTGTGTGTGTGTGTGTGTGTGTGTGTGTGTGTGACTTAAAAGAGTCTCAGTTTTGCACAGCTTGTGTGGCTCAGTGGTTGAGCATCAACCTATGAACCATAAGGTAATGATTCAATTTCTAGTCAGGGCACATACCTGGATTGTGGGCTTGATGTAGGAGGCAGGTGATCAATGATTCTCTCTTATCATTGATGTTTCTCTCTATTCCTCTCCCTTCTTCTCTGAAATCCATAAGAATATGTATTTTTAAAAGAATATATGTTTTTAAAAAAGAGTTTCAGTTTTAATAAATGGGAAGAGCTAACTGAATTTAGCAAACACTTTTGATGTGCTGTACATCTCTGTTTGCTATTGAAGGGGGACATAAAGTTGAGGAGAGCTTCCCATTGAATAGGGAGGTCAAGAGGAATATCAAATACCTATAATTCAACACAGGATATAATTTCTACACATATTTTAAGGATTCCTTTAAGGCAAAAATTAAATGTGATATTTTGGTTAGACATTCTGGAGAATGTGGTAGCACATACATCTTTATGTTTAGGAAGGTTTTTAGTCCAAAAGGTTGATTGTAGGAATTCTGAGTGAAAAAAAGTTCAAGCAAAGACATAGAGGCAGAAAAGTATGTGGGTATGTTTGGGGAATAGTGATGGACTCTAGGTTTGGCTTGGCTGGATCCAGGGCTGTGGGGAAAGTAAGGATATATTGAGAGGTATAGATGGACATATTGTGGAGGACTTTGAACTTGGATATAATGTTTGTACTCAGATAAACAGTGTACGGGAGCCATGAAGTGGATGAACATGGGAACCATGGTTAGTGCTCAAACTCATGAAAGGTAATGTGGTGCCTGAGGACACAGCAAATTGGGGTAGACATTCGAGGGGAGGAACACCATTTAGATGCCACTTATATTGTAATCCAACTGAGAGAGAATAAGGTTTGAATTATGATGAATTTTAAACACTTTGAAACCTGCTCCTTAACACCCTCTCCAGTAAAGGAATGTATTGAACAGACAGACTCTGACTGCCTCCTTTCTTGTAGTAAGTGTTTTCATCATGGTTCTACTATCTCCTGTAGTTTCTATTTATTAATTTTTTTTTAATTCTCATCCAAGGATGTGTGTGTGTGTGTGTGTGTGTGTGTGTGTGTGTGTGTGTGTGGTGTTGTTGTTGTTTTATTTTTAGAGTGAGAGGATAGTACAGAGAGAGACAGAAATATCAATTTAAGAGAGAAACATTGGTTGGTTGCCTTCCATATGGGCTCCTACTAGGGACTGAGCCTGCACACCTTTTGGTGTATGGGGTGACACTCCA